TACGCCAAAAAACTTCCCCTCACTTAAATAACCCTATTCTTTTTCGATTTGTTTATTTTTTGACCCACTATAGGCCAAGTACAGAGGCGGATGTTCAATGCTGGTTTGATATCACCGCGAATTGCAGCCAACTCCTTTATTGAAGCGATCCAATACACATTTCTATCAGACCATGATCTTGGGTAAGAAAACCAAAGTCATAGGTTTTGTATATCTGTAAATTGGCACGATAATCGACTAAATACCCTGAACCACACACAGCGCGCGAAATCATTGCTTCTCAAACTCYKTACATTTTAACAAAGAAAAACGTAAATCATTAAAATTTGGTCAACTTTTTAATTTTAATTTTTCAAAAAAAAAAAAAAAAAAAAAGATGAATGATGAATGATGAATGATTTGCATAAGAAGCCATAATTAGGTATTCCTCTTGTTTTCGACTCACTTCTCGGTGTTGGGATGTTGGATCAGACAATCAATCCTTCTTGTGCTTGAACATTACTTCTTTTTTTTCAAGACTGATGAAGCAGGCTTACATGGAGGTCGCCACAATATACTTGGAAAGTGTTAAGCAAACAACGTCTGCTCCCCCGACTCCTGATCTACGAAAAGAAGTCAAGTCAGCCAAGGCTGAGAAAAAAGAAGCTAAAACCAAGTCTAAGAAGGGTAAAGAAGGCAAAGARGTCCTCAAAGAATCCGAAAAAGAAAAACGAGCTGTCTGGTCAGCGGTACGAGCTGCAGCGCTTGTGTCAATGGCGCAACACCGCTGTGGACTATTGACCGGTGATCCAGAAATTACAGCGTTGAAAATGAAGAAATYGGGTGAGTCGTTACCAAGCTTCGCGCTGTTTGATCTTCTGGGTACTGATGACGTGGTACCTAGTGCCAGTTCACTTGTCGGTAAAGACGGTCAAGTCACGCTCGGGACCGAAGTCAGTGGCACRAACACTGTCAAAATGACCTGGATTCAGATGCTCGGGTATCTATCGATGCTTCGTCGGCAGTGTTCGTACAAAGCCCTCGGAGTGGGCACGGAAGATTTGAATCCTTTGGCCATAGCACCGCTGTTTAGTGGTAGAAAGACGCAAAAGCTTTCTTTGGTTCATGGATTCTTAAGGAGTGAGCTTGGACCATATGCAGAGGAATGCTGTGGGGTCTATCCTATTGATGGTCTAACATTACCAGTTTTACCGGTTTTACCGGTTATTATTCAGACGCTCGTTACTCAGCCGACTGAAGCAGAGATGCCACGAACTCCGACAGAAAAGGCCGAAGGTAACTGAAAATGGATATTCTAAATRATGAAATATCAGAGTACGTAAATAAGTCTCGTGCAAAATCGTCAAAAATGTTTTATAAAAGAAATATAAAACGGCTAGTTATTAGTGTCTGCACTGTGATATGAACACGCTGGGAGCTGTAGAGCACTCGAAAAGCACTCCATTCCYGAGCTTGCTTCTCTCTTGTCTACAGCTCCCAGCGAGTTCATATCACTTGCGCGTATGTTTTATATTCCTCAATCATAATTACATAGTCTACTTCTTTTATCGTTGTTTACTATTGATGGTTTTCAACCATTCCAAAGAGAATTAAATAACGAAAGACACGGCGGCCATGTTGGAGGATATAGCAAAATAATTCATTGACAATTCTTTTAAGTTCCTCCAACATGGCCGCCGTAAGAACCATCAATTGTACCCATCATGTTCTACGTTCTACAGATATACTGGACCCGAAGCTACACTTATGCTACTTGAATCTTGGGACCACAATCGAATAATAAGTAGTTTACTAACGAWTGCTGTTTTACATAGGCGTAGAAAGGATACTTATATCAAGCGCATTTAGGGGATATGCCTAATCTTATTTTTTATCGGTCGATATTAGATGGTAAACTAGAAACTCAATTATTCGTTCAACTATTAATAAGCGACCAACTTCTAGAGGCCAGTTGCTTAAGTCCTAAAGAGGGTTGCGCTAATTCATAACTCTACTCGGCGACCAACCTCTATTTAGCCGGCACTTGACAATTCCCCAAGCATGGACGCTTAATGAAAGTTCAAAATGGCTTTTGTGTATATCTTTCAGATCCCTACAAGTACTTTGCTGTAGTCCAGGGAATGTCTCCTTCCAGTGCAAGAGACCTCGAGGTGTCTGTCTATTGGGGTCAGTTACCAGTAGACACCCAGACACCTCAAGATACCAAGGACAGCAGTCAAAGTCAAGGGTGGGTCTTCATGTACGGTATGAACACCAAGGCATTCAACATGGCGTCCAATGCAGGGACCAATAATCTGAAGATTGGGTTGCGGTACTTACCCATAGCAGATGTGCAGGCTTTACATGAAGGGCTAATGAGCACGTTAGAGCTGGCTGAGAGTGAGTTACAACCAGCTCCTCAAGCAAACATCGCAGGTAAAGATAGAACGTTTTTACCTTTCCTTTATGTGTGTAAGTAATCCTAGTATGTGTGCKAAGAATCTTGACTGTACACGCCACGGTAATGGTACGAATTGGACGTCCCGTTGACATATTCACACCTCCCTATCAGACAACAGTATACCGTGCCTTAGACTAGCAATACATTCCGTCAACTTCCTTGTTACTTTTCCCTCTTCAACCCTGTTCCATTTTGTATAATACGATGTAGAACATGCCATGTCATTCATRTTTTCTTAGCCTGCGTTCAGCAAATAAACGAAAATCCTCGGCGAGAAACGAGCGGCAGAATTTTACCCCTGCATGGGTTGCCGAGGATGAGAAAGGAAGAACAAGATCACAATTTAAAACGGGTTTTAACAAATAAACAAAAATCCTCGGCGAGAAACTAGCGACAGAATTTTACCCCTAGTTTCCCGAGAATGAGGAACGAAGAACAAGATCAAAAATTAAAACGGGTTTTAACAAAGAAGGGGTGTCGCGTAACTTGACAATAGTCAGTCGTGAGCCTTTTGGCCCACTTCCAAGCTGGGGCGGTCTAACAAAGCTGCAATTGAAAGAATGATGAGAGCTCCGCTTTCACTAAAATATTGTGTGCTTTATAAGGTCGTCAAAGCAGAACAGAGTTAAGCGTTCCTGCGTCGCAAGACCCCAAAAGCCCCCAGTCTGTGGCTCCTGCTCGTAAGAAGCGTACGGTGGGGATACGTGCTTTGTCAGCCAAGCAAAGAAGAGAAGATGTCATACGAAACAAGCTAAAGGAGCATCTAGAACAGATCTATTCTATCATGAAAACACCTGAAGATGTTGCTTCTAAGGTATAGATCGCTTATTCTTATACACCAAGACCGACCTGCATGAGAACTTGAACCAAACATCCCGGGGAGGAATTTAGATGTTTTTGCTTAATTTATTAAAGAACTCAGACAAACGAGAAGTTTCCCCCAAATCTCCAAGTTCTTTAAGACTGTAYAAAGTACAGCAAGCAAGTTTTTAAATTTCTTTTGTAAATTACAAATTCCAATTAACTTTATTTTGCATAAGAATGAAGCAATAGAAAGTGCGCGTGTGMTGTGYGCTCTCGTAAAGCTACGGACACACGCTGCAGCATTGCGCGCAATGTTGCATGCAATTGATGATGCAAGCTATGACACACGGTGCAATTTATGTTGCGAGCCATGACACACGGTGCAATTTGCTGCACGCAACGTTGCTGAAGTAGAAAACTATCCTACTTCAGCAACATTGCCTGCAATGTTGCGCGCAATGTTGCACCGTGTGTCTGTGCCTTAAAACACGCCCTCAAGCAAACAGGCCCCCGAGATTCATACTCAGTAATGTTCTAATACTGTTTTCCTTGCAGGACGTTCCTTTTGAGGTCACCCTACAGAACATAGCATGTCTAGAAGCCATCTTTGATCCATGTCGAGGGTACACAGCCAAGGCATCTGAAGCCTTTTTCAATTGGTTAATCACTATTTTCAAGGGATAYTAGATCCACCTTCTTTCGTTTGACACATAATTTTGTAATTTACGAAGTGYATTTTTTTTACTCCTTTGGTATTTTGGAGATGCTTTATTCTTTTTTMTTGCGTGAAAAAATTGCCAATTTGCAAAATAAAAAGTGCAATTATTTTAGAAAAATGGTAGCATTTTTTTTTTTCTTACATTCGTACAAAGTTTCTGAAATTTATCGCCGCATAACTTCTCGATAAACATTTGGCTATTAGCGTATTCGTAACATTTTCGGCAAACATTCGTCTCCAAGTATTTTCAATCGGAATGTCTTCGGGCAAGGGGACTGTGTACGTAATACCATAGCTGGGGATTTGGACATGAATATTAGTCCGATTTACAAAGTCCTACAACAAGTCGGTAGCTGAATGACATTCAAGGAAGGTTAACAGAACTAACTTTACAACTTCAAGCTCTTGGCAAAGAGGCAAGTACCAAGTACGATGCTGCATAGCAATTTCTCAATGTTCGCGTAAATGGACTTTGCATAAATACCGTAGCTTTTGACTTGCTTGCTTTATACATTGCTTCTTCATAGCTTTGCTTGTGTTAAAAGCTGCTTCWTTGCTCGTTCTAATGGTTTTAGTCTCTTGTGGTCTAACAATATTTTTAATACAAACGCGAACGTCAAGCGATGGCAGCAGAATGCATTGTACTTTTAAAATAAAAACAGAGCACCTTTTTAAACCAATATTAAATATGATTTTATTCGTATAAAATCTGAAATTACTGTTCAAGTGCAAAAATAAGTGTATTTACAAAGTATGCAATATAATTTGGTAAATTATTTTAAGTATATTTATTTAAGGGAATATATTTAATCGAATGCATTATATAGACAGGTTTTCGTCGAGAATTCAAAATACAAATTTCACACCTTGTTGCATTGCAAGGCTGATATCTGCACAAAAAGCACTTATTATATTTAGCAATGGAATTTAGAATATATTAGGATATGAAAGACTTCATATGTTGCTGTACATCAGACATACAGCTTATGGTAGAAATTAAAGTGGATATAGAGCGGTTTTGATATGTGGGAAACGATAAGGCACATTCCTTGTCGTACTGTAGCCGTACCATATCTTACTGTGAATGGATGAATATATGGAAAGCGTTTCAGTGTTCCGGCATGTCGTACCGTGTACGTGCTGTAAGTCAGTACCGTATGTTTCCCACTCGAACGATAACCATTCTTATGGGAAGCCATTTCAATGTTAAGGCATATCGTGCCGTGTACGTACTGAAAGTCAGAACCGTACGTTCCGCTCTATGACATGTTTATGTAAGGTCGTGCTGTKGTCCCCTATTAGCGAGGCAGAATATTTTGAGTCGTTATATGGGTGGTGCCCTTCGAGGATCTAAGTCGAAATCCGGTTCTAAATCACTCAGTAAAGTGTCAGCAATCTTTTCACGCAGACGGCCACGTTGCTGCAAGAAAAAATATATAGATTAGAGAAACCATGATCAGCAAAGCAAAAAAAATGAACTTTTGCAAACGTTAGTAAAATTTTTGGGTCTCTCCCTTTGTTCGAGTCAATGTTTAAAATACTCCCTGCTGTATTCTATTGGGGTCTCAAAATCCGAGTGGGATTTCGAATGCCGAGGCGAAGCCGAGTTCTAGTAAATATTTCTAGTAAATAATTCTAGTAAATTAAGTCCGAGTAGTAGTACTAGAACTTTGAAATGGGTGTGGTCGTATTTGATGGGGGTTTCAAACTACCGCACGTGGTACCAATAAGAAACCCTGGTTGGTCGATGAGCTCATGAATAATTAATGAGTAAAAAAATTTTAATTTGATTTGCGAGAGTTTGCCGGGCGCCCAGGTTTATAATTTTATACAATTTTTTTGCGTTGATACATGAAACTTGTCGTGGCACATGAAATACTAACCGTTTTGGGTCGTTGGATTTTCTGTTGCGGCGACGAGGAACCATTTGTAACTGAAATAGAAAGTTGATATTTGTTAGGAACCTCAAAAAACCTGGAACATCGAGTCTGTTAAGTACAGAATATAATTTTTTGGTCCTAAAATTAGAGCAACATGACGTGCAGAAAAAGAAGCACGAAAGAATCGTATCAAAAGCTGAAGTTGAAAGTTAGACTCACCAAGATCAGGCGAAGTAACCTGACGAGAAGGGAAGCTAACAGGAGGTGGCCACACCYCTCCCCCAGGGGGCTTGCCAAGGGGTGAAGGCTTGGGACCCATCACAGATGATGACCGCTGAGGGACTGGTGCCACCTCAGCAACAGGCAGCCAGGAAGTGAATGGACGCTTTTCCAAGGAGCTCATACCGGAAGTGGGTCGTGATAACATTCCACCGAGATGTTGTTCGTACCCATAAATCTGAAGATAAAAGATAAGGTTAGACGATACACCGAAATTTTTTGCAGCATCTTTCCAAGATTATAGAAAAGTTGCTTTGCAAAAATAAGACTCTTCGTCTAGAAAAATGTTATTTCCACTTCCATCATCCTAAGAATACATTGTTTCAGGATCTTGATGACAGATCCCAATCAATTTTCTAGCCTGAATGTTCATAACTTTTCGCCCCAGTGATGAGCCTTGCGGAAACCCAATCCTAGAGTTTCTATTTTACCATCTGTAGAGAAATAAATCCTAGTCCCATTCCAATAAATCCCATTTTAAGTTTTTTATAGGCGYACTTTCTTACCGTTCTCTGGAGTTCCTCGACTCTCTCAAAGGCGTCGAGTTTGAGGTTTCGTTCATGTTCAAGCTGCATCAGCATCTGCTTTAAAGTCTGAAAATATATGCGGATGAAAAAATAAACTTTCCATGAATAATTCAGCTTCATTCTAAATTTTTACAAGCTAAGAATCCTTTCCATTCCACCCGCCCTACCAAGTCTTCCATTCAACCCAATCCCCTTGAAGAAAAGGTTAATTTTTTACTTAAATCCTTTACAACTAGATTTAGCTGCGTAGATCACCTTCTTCGACTGCTCTTGTTGAAACATGTTTCTTCTTTGATCACGGTCAAGATTTTCTAAAAAAAAAACACAGCATTTTAGATTTTAGTATTCAAATTAGTTTAAAATATATTTGCAATAATATYAAAAGATTATTATTAAGATATTTAATGTCACACACCTGTAAGCATGCGTAGACGTCTCTCTTTTTCTTCGAGATCAAAAATCTAAAATTAAACAAGATAAAAGTTTTTAGGTGGCAAGTTAAAGTTAACTTTTATTGAAAGAACATGATTGAATTATTCAAAGAGCGCGCGAGTCGTGAACGTGATATCGCGCCAACAAGGTACGTCRGGTATAGATTTAATCAATCACACAGCGAGAAATTACGTCATGATCACTCATCGGCACAGCAAGGCGCAGCATGTCTCTCTGTCCCGTAGTTTTTAATGATATAATTTGATTACAAATTGCCTTAACAATGTATTTGGTATAAAAACAACGACGACACGTTTTGCTTAATCTCACTTACCAGTTTATCAATGTTCGTAGACTTGGCCAGCTCGAGTTGACGCATGCTTTGTTGTTCCTGCATCTGTGCATGCATCTTCTGCATCTTGGACTTTTGCTAAGAAGTACAGTGAAAAATATCAGTGAATGATCGATGACAAAACGGAAGAGAGATTAACGATAGAGGGCTTTGCTATTAACGTTAAAACTCCTTGAACTTTATGTATTCTTTGTTCGATTTTTGTTTGCTCTTTTAATTCTTACCTCAAACTGTAGCTTTCGCCGTAGTTTCTGACATTCTTTTTCAAGTTCAGATAAGGCCTACAACATTATAAGTGTTTATATATTAACCATRGTTAAAAAATACAAGATTGTATTTGACTTTTCTTCTAAATCTGTGATACCTTTCTCAGTGCTGCTTGTTCTTGTTTCATTAACTGTGCTTTTTCTTCGGCCATCTTTTTCACCTCAAGGCATTCTTTTTTGGCACGATCGGCTTCTTCACGAAGACTCTCCACCTTGAAGAAAATGATATTGTGTCTTTTAAGGCATCAGCAGCGATAACAACCACAGGAACAACAATGACAACAGCAGTAACAACA